AACTAACGGTGCAATACCCCTTTATTTTCAAAGATTATGTTTGTTTAAAGCAGTTATTAAAAGTGAATAAACTTACTAATTTACAATAATTTCCATTCATTGATTTTAGATCTACACCATGAAGACTAAAGTCACCTACCTTAATCAAGTCGCAATTATTAAAAAGTAGCCTATTTAAAATCCATTTTTATAAAATAAAATAAATCTAATTGTGGTTTATCATTCAACTGAAGGATCAGCTTTTATATTGCAATTTAAATTCGAAAGTGAAAGTGTACGGCTTGGTAATTTGTTGATACATTAGTTTGGTAATAAGTTGCACTAGAAAAATATGCCTGAATCAATGGTGTAGTCAGTGAGATGCGACTAATGGGATTTACTCACAGGGTCTACTCAAGCATTGTCTTGTTCAACCCTCGTAAGTAGGGGATTAGTTCCTTGCACGGGTAGGACCAAGGAGCGCAAGCACCTCTGCGCTCCTTGGTCCTACCCCGACGAATTCTTCGGCCGAGGGGTTGACAGTTTACGACTTGCGCTCCTCTGTCCGTTTCCCAACCACCTTGGGGGTGGACAATAGACGGCTTATCAGACCCGACCCTCCCCATAGTGGTCTAGAGAAAGCTTGTAAAAAAACTATTGCACAAGCGTGACTTGTTGCATATAATAACTATTGGACTATGTTTATTATATTTGGTACTCTTTGACTTCCTTATGATAATTCAAATGTTTTTGTTTTACATATGGTTTTCTGTTGTTCATTAATTATTCTGTAAATAAGTTTGACCAATTTAGTACATCATAAAAGTTTTCTTCCAGTAAAGTAATCTTTTCATTTCATTCTATTTAACTTGTAACAATAGTATTTTATAACAGGTTATGGGCCCAGACACCCTTATATTGTGTGTTACAGGTTTTAAATAGAATAATTTATTGCTTGAGATAAAATCTTTAGTATGGAATTCGTTATGCAGAAAATGGAATTGCTGCATGGAAAGGACAACTGGGATGATTGGAAATATCGAAATATCTAATGCAAATTAGGCTTAAAGGAATCCCAGATGCATACGAAGCCATTTCTGGTAAAATGGAATTGCCAGAGAAACCTAAAGATGAAACACAAGCTGCAGAAATGAAAGAATACAAAATGAAGATGGATAAGTATATCAAAACACAATCAGAAGTAATGTTTATGTTAGCATCTTCATTAAGTAAGGAAGTAAGAGCTCAGGTAAGAAACCTAGAAAAACCAGATGAGGTTTGGAAGGAGCTGCATAATCTATTTGCGGAAATATAGGAAAACTAAGCCTATGATATATGCTCTCTGTTCTTCACCTACAAATGGGATCAACACTTGGACATGGCTGGGAACCTATCTGCAATCAAGTCGTTATGGGTAAAGCTTCAAGAAGAAATTAAGAAAATTCAAGACAAGAAAGAAGATAGTTTACCTCAGATATTGTTGATTTGCAAGATTTTTGAAATCCTACCAGCAGAATATTCCAACTTTCAGACAACTTGGTTAATGATTCACAAGGATAAAGCGAGAAACCTTGACAATCTTACAAATTGGCTGTGCACAGAAGCAAGAAAGCTGACTTCAAAGGAAAATGAGAAAGAAGATACAGCTTTAAGGGCGGTCAATAGATCTAAAGAAGCCAAAGGTAACTTAGTAGGTGTACAGAAAAACAGCAAAAACAATGATAAAAAGAAAAAGCTTCCATGCCACTATTGTCACAAGAAAGGACATTGGTTGCAAGAGTGTCAGAAATGGATAGCGGATGGAAAACCAGAAAAGAAAAGCTTGGAAAAAGAATCCAAACAAGCAGCACTAACCATATTAAGTAATTGTGTTTTTCAAACCCAGAATACTACCGCATCACATGATTGGTACGTGGACAGTGGTGCTACCAACCATGTTACACATTGTAGGGAAATGTTTACTAACTTTGAACAATTTGAGTTACCTCATGCAGTTACAATGGCAAATGGACAACAGACAAGTGCTATTGGTAGAGGAACAATTTGCATGGAAGCAAATTTGGATGGTATTTGGAATTCAGTAAAACTAACCAATGTATGGTATGTACCTGGTATCTTCGCAAACCTATTTTCAGTAACCGCTGCTCAAGATTTAAATGTAAATAGTAAATTTGTATCGACATCCAAGGATTGCACTTTGTTTGATAGAAATGGTAAACCACTCATCAAAGGACATCGAAGTCAAGGCGGAGGCTTGTTTAAATTAGCAGTAAGAAAATCAGTAGACCTCATGGCTGTTATGGAAGGAGTTCCAGCTGTTAATCAGTTGCAGTTACTTCATGAACGACTAGGACATCAAAGCAAAACTCATGTACAAGAGTTTGCAGGAAGAGAACTGAACCTTAATCTCAAGCTTGACAATGAGGTATGTGAAGGATGTGCTTTTGGGAAAATGCACAGGACACAATTCAGAAGCAGAGATGAACACAGAGCTTCAGTACCTGGTGAAATTGTTCACTCTGATGTTTGTGGACCTTTCTTTGAGTCGATTGGAGGTTCAAAGTACTTTGTATTGTTCAAGGATGACTTTACTCGCTACCGCAGTGTTTATTTTATGAAGACAAAATCTCAAGTTGTAGAGAAGCTGAAGCACTTTCTTGCAGAAGTCAAAGTCACAGGCCATGTAATATGTAAGTTGAGATGTGATGGAGGAGGTGAATTCGACAATGAAAGTATTAGACAAGTCCTTCAAGTGAATGGAATACAACAGCTGATCACAACGCCATACACACCACAACAGAATGGATCTGCAGAGACAGAAAATCGGACCATAGTTGAATGTGCAAGGTCAATGATGCATGCTCACGGTGATCTGCCTCAAGGCTTGTGGGCTGAATTGATAAACACCGCAGCCTATATTTTGAACAGAACTGCTAAGTCATCAGTTGCCGGAAAGACTCCATATGAATCATGGTTTGGAAAAAGACCTACGATAAAAATTTATGGGTTATCGGGACAGATTGTTTTGTCCATGTTCCAAAGCAAAGAAGATGTAAGTTTGACAAGAAAGCAATGAAATGCAAACTTATTGGATATGATGGTAATGATGGATATCGTCTCTGGAATTCATGGAAATGTACTGTCATTCGGTCCAGGGATGTAAAATTTTTGAAAGAGCCTATTAGTCAATCTATAGTAAATGGGCCTATATCTTCAGAAGACAAAGTCCCCGATGAAGAAAAAGATGAGAACTGTTCAGCCCCTGTAGTAGAAAATGTTCCCATTCCTTTTCCTGAAGATGAATCGGAAGATGATAAATTGACAGACGAGGAAGCAGAACAACATGAAGAAAACGTTGTGCAAACTCGCCAACTCCGAGATAGAGCTATGGTAAGGCAGCCCATTCGTTTTGAAGATTTTGTGATGAGTGCCGTTATGGGGAACGCACATTATGAACCAAACACTTTTTCATTCAAGAACAAGTGACAGCAGGAAACCTTGAAGTGAAGAAAAGTGACACAAGTGAACAACAAGCTGATTTGTTTACAAAACCTCTTCTTGGACCAAGGTTGAAGGTTTTAAGACAGAAAATTGGACTGGCTTAACGTTCCCATGAAGTCTCTAAGGAAGCCTTGAGTAGGGGGAGTGTTGCATATAATAACTATTGGACTATGTTTATTATATTTGGTACTCTTTGACTTCCTTATGAGAATTCAAATGTTTTTGTTTTACATATGGTTTTCTGTTGTTCATTAATTATTCTGTAAATAAGTTTGACCAATTTAGTACATCATAAAAGTTTTCTTCCAGTAAAGTATTCTTTTCATTTCATTCTATTTAACTTGTAACAATAGTATTTTATAACATGACTTACCTTGGGCTGCTTCAACTTTAATTTTGTCAAATGAACTGTGATGTTTCAAAAGCAAAAACAATAATTTGGGACCATGCTGCATAACAATAATGGACTGCAATTGTTGAACATCATACATTCCATTTTTATTTTGAACAAACTGAGATTACGATTCAAATACAATTTTAAAAATTATTTTGGTATTTTACTTAGGGTAATGAAGTTATGTAGGCTAGTGTAATTCTCAGTTCATCAAGGTTCTACTGAATTATGTTTGGCAGTGAATAAGTGTAGAATGAAATTTATAAATTTAGGGATACACACCTTTTACAGAGTTATAAAGCCTAATTGCCCTGGCCTAATTAACTTGCCCCAGGCATTAGTGATGTTTTCTAAACTTGGCAAACCCGCAGAATGCCACTTAAGGCCAATAATCCAATACAAAAACGTAAGGAAATACAATGTGAAAATAAACTTGAGATAGAACTCCTTGTCTTGTGAGAACCAGGAAACAACATAAAACATAACCTCAAGTAAACAAGCCCAAACGTTTGACATCAGTCCTGCTGAGCTAAAGTGCTGTGTGAAGATTTCGGCTGCTAGTGTACTTAATTCAAGCAACCAACTTTTGAAAATAGATGTTGTGAATTGTGATTTTCAATAGAGAAACTGTGGACGTGGCTAATTTGAAATTCTATAATTCAAAATCGTCATTTAAGTTTATTTACACTACATAGCTTTACAGTGTTTTATAGGTTAAAAATACATATGTAGCTTATTATTAACCGCACCGAACTATCCAAATCCGAAAATATCTGAATTAGAACCTCCCAATATCCGATCCGATCCGAACCGAGCCTCAACTATCCGATCCGAAATGAAATTTCACTATCCGCACACCTGTAGTCTGCAGGTTTGCTGCAGCGGGGTCATTTTGTTCTTACTGCTGTTTTAAGCTTATGATTATTGAAAATTGCTGTGGTAAAGTAACTGGTTTATAGTGTTTTATAGTAGCCTACTTATACGTCTTTATTTACAATTGTTATACATTTCTGTTATTTACATTATTTATATTATTGAAATAATTACAATACTTGAGGTTAGTGCACTGAAAAACTTTTCTGGGATTTCGAAGTTATATGAAATTCAATTATTTGTTTATTTTCAGCCAAGGGCAGAGAGATACTAACCAACACTAGAGATCTCGTCCAAAAGCTGAGTTATGACGTGATATACGGCGACACTGATTCCATCATGATTAATACCAACATTCTTGAGTATGACCAGGTGTTCAAAATCGGTAACAAGGTAACTGTATTTTAATGTTATGAACTTAATGGTTGCTTTGTTCTGAATTGCATTACTGATTTCTACGACCCTCAATCAAGCTGATGTTCTCACTAATCTGTATTGTAATACTGACCCATCTGGTAGCATTTTAAAGGCAAAGATGAGTGTGTTTTTGTCAGTAGGTTTTGTATAGTGACAAGTGAACAATTAAATGCCAGGAAATACTAAATAGATAACCAATTTAAATAATTCTTTGTAAACTAGACAAATAATTAATCTTAACATATTAACTAATTTATATGGCAGTTTGCTTTAATTGAGTTTAAAATTTATCTCGATCTTTACACATGGCTATGTGTACGGCTGTATTCTGTTATTGTTGCTAACCTTTTTACAGATTAAAGCTGAGGTGAACAAAATGTACAAACATGTGGAGCTTGACATTGACGGAGTGTTCAAGTTCATGTTGCTTCTGAAGAAGAAGAAATACGCAGCAGTGTCAGTGACTCGGCTGCCCAGCGGAGAACTGGTGTGTACTGAGGAGATGAAGGGGTTGGACATGGTCAGGAGAGACTGGTCTCAGCTTGCAGCCGAGGCGGGCAAGTAAGTCCCACACAGTAACAGTTGTATGATTGCTAATTCACTAATTCAACATTCAACATTGTAGTGAAGCAACTGCACAAATGATTTGATAAATGGCATATTGTCTTATTGTAATTGGGTTACTCGCAAGAATTTATACACACTTTTTGTATTAATTCAAAGTCAACTCTACTGTCCATTGTACTCTATTGTCTTGACTCTCTTAAGCTTCAAAAGCCAATATATCAACTATCATGAGTATCAAACAAAACCTTCTCTTTTATGCAAGCTTGGCCAAAGTGGGTTGACCGCTATCATTTACAAGGGTCGTCCAGAAAGTAAAAAACGTTTTAGCATGGTTCAATAAAAACGAAAGATATCAACAATAAACTGTATTTACAAAGCCACAGTACCTTATTCTACTTTTCTACGTAACCGCCATTGTTGTCGAGACATTTGTTGTAACGTGGGACCAGTTTTTCAATTCCGATGTTATACTCGTCAGCCGCGAAAGATTTGAGCCATGTTATCATTGCATATTTAAGTTCGTTGTCATTTCCAAACTGTTTTCCACCCAAAAACTCCTTCAACTTTGGAAACAGATGACAATCCTTAGGTGCTAGGTCAGGGCTGTAGGGAGGATGACTAAAGATTTCCCACTTCAGACGTTGGAGTTCTTGCCGCGTTTGTGCTGAGGCATGAGGCCGGGCATTGTTGTGAATGAAAAGAACTTTTGCCGACAGCATTCCACACCTCTTGTTTTGGATGGCGCGTCGAAGTCGATAGTCTCACAGTAGGATTCTGAGTTTATTGTTGCACCTCGTGGCATGAAATCCACATGGATTAATCCCTTTCAGTTCCAAAAAACCGTTGCCATGACTTTGCGAGTCTGCAACAATGGTTTTTCCTTTTTGGGATTTGAGGGCAAATTTGCATGATGCCACTCCATTGACTGACACTTATTTTCTGGAGTCTTATACGAAACCCATGTTTCATCTCCCGTAACAATACGATAAAGAAATTGGTCCCCATCTTTGTCATATTGAGTCGAAAGTTCAAGGGCTGCCCCCATGCGTTTTGCCTTATGGTCGTCTGTCAAAATCTTAGGCACCCACCGAGCACACATTTTCTCGTAACCAAGGTGATCTGTCACTATCTCATGTAGGAGTGATCGTGAAATTTGTGGAAAAGAGTCATGTAAAGTGGTCAAAGTTAAACGTCGGTTTTCCTGAATCTTTTCTTCAACTTTTTGCTTCAGTTCATCCGTGACTAGTGATGGCCTCCCGCTCCGATCTCCATCATGCACGTTAGTCCTTCCTTGGTTAAACAAAATGCACCACTTTCTTACTGATGACTCATTCATCGCATCTTCACCATAGACAGCTTTAATTTGCCTATAAATTTCAATGGGCTTAACTTTTTGAGCATTCAAAAAGCAAATTACACTCCGTACTTCACATTTGGCGGGATTTTTGATTAGCGCCGCCATTTTAAAACGCTGCGAAAACAAGTAGCGTGACCGGCGACCGCACAGCAACGAGACTCACCTCACACTGAAGAGAAAGGAAGGGGCAAGCGGCCGAGCACGTAATCGCAGTGGTGGAGGATCTGCGCCGCACGTGATGCACATTCGTTCTTTACTTTCTGGACGACCCTCGTAGTTTGGTATACCACTGCATCTGTGCTGCATCTTTATGCAAGCAAGAATTGGTGTTGATACTATGGGTAGAAGAGCTTTACAAAGCCATTCGTAAGAAAAAAAAACACAAAATGAGGGTAAAAGATGCTAGGAAATCTGTGCCACTCGACACATGTTTTCCTAATAAGAGTTGTAGCCAAGCGACAGTTGCATCTATAAAGCAGACGACAATCGCCTCCACAGCAGCTACAACTATGTCATCACAAGCCACATTAGGCTCTGTGCAACATCCCTTGGAGCCTGTTCCATTCACTTCAAATGCAACTAAGTCCTTAGAATAATCATCCCAATCTAGACAACATCTTTCCAAGCCTACCCCTTCCACTTCACGCGGGGTACAACTTAATTATGACCACTTTTCTCCATTTAAACTATGCTAATATACTCCTTTTACATTGTTTAAATGGAGAAAAGTGGTCATTCTAACGAAAATAACACGTTTCTCTGTTATTATTTATCCAATATTGACAAATAAGGTATCATTGAAAACTACATAAAATCTACTAACTTTTTTTGTCTCTTGCAATATTTTTGTAAAGTTAACAGTTTTCGTGAAATTTGCCATAAAATATTTTAAATGGCCGCCATTTTGAAACGGTTAATGATTTTTAGTATAATTAATAATGATAATAGGTCTTAATAAGATAAACATTTTTGTATAATATCAACTCTGTATCTCAAACCGTTTAGGAGTTATTAGTTTTTTTTTTTTAACACATAAATACAGACAGACGGAAAACTAGGCACCACAGACCCACGTTCCTATGGTGAAATGTGTTTGTCTTGACCTAAGGAATAACGCTATATACATATGTCCATAGAGTTACGGGACACCCTGTATAGTGTAAACTAAGTGTTGGGTCCTTTATTGACTTTCTTTCGTATATCTTGTTGTTGTAAACTTTTTATTGTCTTGTTTATTTATTTTGTTGTTACTATTTTCAATTTATATTGATTTTACTTTATTGTTATTATTATTATCTTGGTACTGTCTTTCAATGAATAACTGATGAAGCCTATTGTAATAATGTATTACTTAATGGTGAATAAACTTCTTGATTCTTGACTCTTAATTTTTGCCTTGATTGCGTTAAATCATGAAAGGTGTTGTCATAGTGGCGGTATATCATCACATTTATTGCCACGATGGTGAGAAATAATACTAGGGGTGCAGTGATCGTGAGAATTGATCCTGGATTTTGTGTGTAATGATGCCTGGTGTAGATTATTGATTTCTATCTAATATGCTGACTTTCAAAACAAGACTAACTGATAGGGTGATTTTGTAAACAGGTTTTATGTCATTTTTACTATCTCAGTAACAATAAATAAGGTAGATAATAGAATTTTAGACCCTTGCACATTCTGCCACTGGCTAATTCAGGTAAATGTTTCTCATTTAATTGGTCCTGTTCACGGTTTTATTTTAACGTTTGTTGGCAGGTTTGTGCTGTCTCAGATACTGTCAGACCAAGAGCCAGACGAGAGGATACAAAACATTCACCGTCAGCTGACCAAACTAAAAGATGATCTGGAGACAGGCAAGGTGCCTCTAGAACTGATGACAATCACCAAACAACTGACCAAGTCCCCTGACCAGTACAGTGACAAAAAGGGTCAGCCTCACGTCCAGGTCTGTATCTATATACATCAATGATTCTACTGGTTTTGTTGTAAGTAATAGAAAAGAAAATTAAACATTATGAGATTTGGACAATATGATGCTCCCTAATGACTAGTTTTGATGATTAGGTTTGATTAGTTTGATGTTTCATTGTAAAACTTGTCTAAAGTGTTGGTTTTAGATGATAATACTAGTAGATAGTCTTGGACATTATAAAATGGACATGACAATTCATATTAGGTTTAATTTAAAATAGTCCCTGCTTTTTTAAACCTGTTATTTATACATATAATACCCAACCCACTTTAAGATATATAACCTTTTTCTGTGTGAGTTAACCTTATACACTCAAGTAGTTTTATAGTAGTTTACGCAACGATTGCGTAAAGATAGTGTTAACAACACGAGTAGAAACTTAAAGATATGAGCCTTGGCGAGTGCCTTAAAAACTTCTACGAGTGTCGTTAACACTATTTACGCGAGTTGCGTACACTACTTTACCTACGACGGTGTTTTAATTACTAAAAATCACTACTCATAACTTCTAAGAGAGGTTATGTTTTCGTTTATAACCTCCAATTGCCACTGACAGTGATGCAACGAAACATTGTATCAAACACTAATTTCACCAATCAACAATTAAATTGGCCTGAACAGCTGATTAGTTGAATTTCGAATCATTACAATTTTGCTTCTCTCTCAATCCTTGAACCTCATTGGTCCGTTACCCGTGTTGTTATGAGTAAAACTATGCTGTTATGAAAGTAAACAATGCTGTTATGAGATACTTTTCAATTCTAAGTACTGTACTGAAACAGCTACTTTAAAAAACGGTCGTAGGTAAAATATTTTTATAATTTGATAAAATAGTAATTTTGAAATTGTTGGAGTTCCCCTGTATAGACCAACTGTTTTTACCAACTTTACTCATCAATAATTGTTTTCAAGGTATTTTATGAATAAGGTCACTATTTACTTGTGTATGTGTTAGGGGTAGGCTTTTTGGAGTATTAAAATACATGTAATAATTAATATAATCAGAACATTTCCTGTCAATTATAATTCAATTTTGAAAAAAAAAATAGTGTTTACTTGTCATCCAAAGTGAGGAGAAGTTGTGAGCAAAGTTGTGGAAAAAGTTAAATGTTGAGTAACTAGCTGTTTTGCAAATTAATTACTCTGAACAAAATGCCACTTTGTATGACAACTTTAGACAAAATAAATTCACTCCTGATTTAAACTTTATCATTAGTGTTGCACAGTTAATTCTCTTTGTTTTAGGTGGCTCTCAGACTCAACGGTAGAGGAGCGAGACTGAAGGCTGGTGACACTGTTAACTATGTCATATGTGAGGTGAGTGTTACAAATCTAGCAGCAGTAAAGTTGATACTGAATGGAGAGAAACTAAATTATATTAATCTACAATCATTGGCAATCAATCAACTATTCTATCATGTCCACTATATATTTTCATGTTATTGTATGACACTCTTATAAGTTCCATATTCTTGAAAAAGCATTTGTTTTTACAATTAAGTGTACGACTTGCGGTCAGGCATTGTCAATTGAAAAACAAAATTTCTGAATTCACTATTTCCGAACAGAACTCAACCGTCATTTATGAGATTTCTCCATACACTTCACACCCTCAACAAAAAATTTTATCTCTGTGGCCAAAAAAAAACCTTATGACAGAGAACACCTCATAACTAGTGTGATTTTTAATATTGCATCAATGGGCAGTTCAACAACACTTCCGCTATGACAGCTGGACAGTCACTGAGAAGGCGAACAGGTCTGTAGTAGGGATGGACGGGATTGAATTTTTAGTTCGGGACGGGACGGGACAGGATTTTTTCCTGTGCAAAAAAGGGATTGTTTTAAAATGTCTTGAGTATTGCAGTTAACAAAAAGGACAAAAAAATCTTTTTTTACTGTTTGTGGCACTGATCTATAAAAACCAATAATGGGTAAAAATTTACAGGTATAGAAAAAACGTTGTGACTAAATAATGTCATATCTGGTGTAATTTTACTGTAAAACATCATTCTCATTATAAAATACCTTACAGGTATTGAAACGGACTGTCAATCACTGCATTTAAAAAAAATGTGTAGAGGTTTAAGGCCTGAATTGGTTCTGAGGAGAAAAGTAGTTTAGCTTAATAAATCCTAAATTTTGACATGTATATTCTATGTAACACAATAACACAATATTGTGACCTCGTGGTCTTGGCGCGATAGTCAAAATGACTCCCGATCGTCGAAATGACTCGTGGTCACGGCTTGATCGTCGAAATTACTTGCGGTCATGGCTTGATCGTCGAAATTACTTGTGGTCACGGTGTGATTGTCGAAATGACTCGCGGTCACGACGCAATCGTCAAAATGACTCGCGGTCCAGACATGATCGTTGAAATGACTTGCGGTCACGATGCGAGCGTCAAAATGACTCGAGGTCACGACACGTTCATTGAAATGACTCGCGGTCACGGCGCGTTTGTCGAAATACCTTCGCCTCCTGAATAAATACTAAAATAAATACTGAATAAATGCTATCGTGAACATCTCTCGCGATAGCGGCGTCACCGTCACTCGCGAAGCGGCAAAATCGCTGACGATCGGATCAAATCCCGTCCCAAAAAATTCCCAAGTAAAATGTAATGCCGTCCCGAAAATCAGGAAAATTTTTTTTCCAAAATTTATCCGTCCATCCCTAGTCTGTAGTGGAAGTCTTGGAAGTGTGTGATTTGTGCTCGCCTTGCTGCGTCAGATGGAAATGTTCCTTACTTTATATATAGCCCTTTTACTTATTAGATTTAAGCACTTTGAACCTTTGTGTTGTACAACTAACAGGACGGCACTAACAACCCAGCCACTCAGCGAGCATATCATGTAGACGAGCTGAAGAACTCAGAAAGTCTCAAGTTGGACATTAGGTACTACTTGTCCCAGCAGATACAGCCTGTCATCTCTAGACTGATAGAACCTATAGAGGGTACAGACAGTGCTCAAGTGGCTGAGTGTCTTGGTGAGTTAACATACTAAAAAAATAAACATAATAACATTTGTAAACTTAAGTTATTTTGATGACTTCCGTATGGTATTTAACTTGATTTAAATTTGTACAAACACATTTGAAAAAAGTGAATCCGAATATTTTAATAAATAATGGTTTAAATAGCCTATCTTATACTGTCAGAGTGATCCCTAGTTGTCTAGGCCTGCCCTCCGTGCGAATCGTGTTTCCTGTTACCGGGGTTTTTGTTATGATCATTGTTGTATTCGTCCTTTCATTTGCGATGTGATTAAATGTGTGACATTGATGGATTTTAACTTTGACGACTTCCTTTGGAATGAAATTTGATGTCCTCAATAGCCTGAAAAAGTTCCTCTTGGGAACGAAACTGCAGTAGCCTACAGTCTACTAGGGATCCCTCTGACAGAATAAGGTATTTAAACTATTATTTATTACTACACCAGTAATCCGGTGGCTAACAACACAAATATTTTAGTGAGTTTAATAAAAGAACAGTATTTCAAATTTTTTATAATACAAATATTGAAACTTTTTGGGTGTTTTGATTCCTTAAAGTTTTATACGAGGGAAATTTTTGCATACAGATCCGTAGTTTATGATACCCCGCAACAATGCTCCTTGCCGCTTACTGGCATCATTTGTGAACAAAATTACACCATTTGCAGCTCTGTAGCTTACGTGTAGGCTTCGCTGTGTGTTTTTAACCCATTGGCCTATGAATATTTAGGTGCCCTGCAGTTAGCCTATTAAAATTAGCCAAAAAGCAGGGTTTTCTTTATAAATTCATAAAACATTTATTTTTGAGGTTACAAGATAGCAAGTTATGTTTATTTACTTGAAATAAAATTGCCTTCAATAATGATTATTTTTTAATATAATAAAAACTATAAATAAAATATTTTTTGCCTAAAAAATTAAAAAAAATAATTTATATTTTCTGAAAGCATGACAATTTTATTTACCTAAAAAGCGAATATATATTTATTTTTTTGCACCTAACATGTATTTAGAATACAATTCACTACCTAAGTAAAAATACATATTAAAAAATATTTAATAATATTTCTAAGTTTATATTGTTTTTGTTAAGGTTTAACAAAATTAGTGTAAAGTAAACTAGTAAAGGCATCCCATTGATCAACTTAACGCTAGATTGTTTTCTGAAAACATAAAAACCTACAATTAGTGTAAGTGTATGTGGTGGTATTCCTCTTAAAGGTGCGATTGATATTCTATCAAAATAGGCCTAATCATCGGCTGATTCCTAACTCTTTTGCGACTGGTTAGGGTTCCATTACCCAGTTATCGAAAATCAAAACCAATCACGAAATTTCTTTTCATCAGCATTGACATTAGTGATGTGACGAGTTGAGTTGGCGAGTCGAGTTGACTCGAGTCAAGACCCGAGTCGAGTCAACTCGAGTCAACTCAATTCCAACTCGAGTTCTTTTACGAACTCGTACGGAGATTGCCGAAGCTACACGAACTCGTAACGTTACGAGTCTGACTCGCAAAAGCCGAGTCAAGAAACCGAACTCATACGGAGAAAGCCGAACCTTAACGAACTCGGGACGTAACGAGTTGACTCGAGTTTACTCGCACTCGCTTTCGGCCAATAGCGTCACAGCTTTACGAGTCAACTCGCATAGATTCAACGCTATTGGCCGGTACCGAGTCGGGCGACTCGCAAAACTAACGAACTCGTACGGAGAATGCCGAACTCACACGAACTCGGAACATCTCGAGTCGAGTCGAGTCGACTCGTAAAGCTGACACGCTATTGGCCGGTACCGAGTCGGCCGACTCGCAAAACGAACTCGTACGGAGAATGCCGAACTCGTACGGAGAATGCCGAACTCACACGAACTCGGAACGTCTCGAGTTGAGTCTGACTCGACTCGTAACTCGAGTTCACGGCAGTTGGCGAGTCGAGTCACTCGAGTCAGGAAAGTACCCGACTCGTCACATCACTAATTGACATGCATATTTTTTAGAGATGGGCCGATACCAAAAATTGTCGATACCGATACCGATACCACCAAAGTACTCTCGATACTGATACATCCGATACCTATCTTTTTTGTACAGTTTCTTCCACTAATAATATTATAAACTGTTATATCATAAAAATACCCCCGCCGCAGCAAACCTGCAGACTAAGCGAATTTCAACTTGTCTGATTACATTTTTACTACAATATTTCCATATATAAGACATATTTATTCTCAATTTAAATAACATTTAGATTTAACGAGTGCTTAGGTTTGCTGCTACAGGGAAGGTAAAAAGCGTTTTTCGACCATAAGTCAATATTATAGGATGAAATAAATAAATTTGCCAAATTTTATCAATATATATCCATAAACAAGTAAACCACAACAGTTTTCATTTTCTCCATAAGAATAACATGGGAATTTTAAATTTGCACTTTTTTTAATTTTCTCCGTAACCATTAGGCATACAACAATGCTTCAATATACTAAATTATTTACTTTTTTAAGCTCTACAAAATGGTTGAGAAAAAAATTCCAAAATTTTATGTTTTTAGGGTCAAAAATGGGAAAAACCCATTTTTACCCCATAAAACCCCCCATAAACCCCTGTTCCCATGGTCCGATCATGCTGGTTCGCGAACTCGTTTAAATAAATGTAGGTTTACACGTTTATACCAAATTTCATCAAAATCGGATAATTTTTGTTCGTGTTATCGTGCTGACGGACACATATATATATATATATAAATATATATATATATATATATATATATATATATATATATATATGAATTTGAACGGATGGTGTTTTTGGCCTCTGGGGACATCAAAATGAAAAAGTAAATCGGTCCCGAGTCCAGGTCTTACCATGAGACCTACGGTAATAGCTTATTCCCTATATGTGAAATTCGCTAAAAAACACAATATGTATGTGTATCAAACTTATATTTTGGTGTTAAACGTTTATTATTAATTGCAAAAAAACAAATGCAAAAATATGGAACTAAGTGTTTATTTTAAAATAGGCCTACTGTAAATGTTTGACTTTGACTAAGGCATGAGATTTAATAAAGTTTCCTCTAATTTATAAATAGGCTTATAGAAATAGTTATATATCTTCAAAATTTGTTTAACTATGAAAAAGTCACCAAGTCTAGCTGAAAACACATTCATAAATGAGGATATTTTTGAAATACAGAATAACTAATCAAACAACCTTTTTATTTTTTATTTTTTACATTTTTATTTCTTAACTTTTCTTCCTTGAAAATGTCAACAGTTTTTCACTTATTTTTAATAAAGATTATCACTTATAATTTCTCGAAAGAAATCTACGTGTGAGCTATGAAGAGCAGACAAGACACATACGTCACTGCCACGAAAACTATTCTCTACTGTGAATGAATGAACTGAGTGTTTATTTAGTGTGAAGCCCCGCCCACCGTCTAACGGGACATGGGGTAGGAAAAGAGAAAGTTTGCTCTAAAGCCTGGTTCACATGCCCTCCCTTACCCTCGGCGTCAGTCGCTTGCAGATTTCCATTACACAAACGTTTCTGAGTGTTGATTATTTTAAAACACTGTAAATGTTTGAATTTGACTATTATGAGATCTAATAAAGTTTCCTCTATTTATAAATAGGCTTAGGCCTACAAGTATTAATCTAAGTCATTTGACAGTTTTTGTATTTATTTTTAAAAGCAATTGCAGTTATACTTTTAAAAAAACAACATACATCTTGACCTATAAATACTTTTTGTCAGGAGAGTCTTTTCTCTATAGTGAGTAAAAACGATCGTGGTCAAGGAATAACTGTGTTAAAATAGCACACTGTCAATTTTTACAAAAGTATTTTGACTGAAACCTGGTATTTTTTAAAGAGATTGTAGAATAAGTCGACGTCTGTGGAGAAAAGTATGGCAATAGATAAGTTTTACTTTTAGCCTACAATAAAGATTATGTTTTGGGACTAGAATCTCCAAAAAAGTGCTTTTATAAAACATGTCATAGTTTTATTTAGTAACAAAAGTGTTTGACTATGTTCCCGATGATACCAAGAGTATAGGTTCGGCAATCGGCAGAGTGGATTCACTGTGAACCGGCCTGCCTGGCCCTTATGCACGACGTCGACGTCACTATAACTTCCGTGTAGGGGTGTCAAAAACGGATCGGAACAATCGATGTTTTGAACCTGTCTGTAACTAACCTAGTTTTTTTATACTTTAATACTCATTATGCATAAACGAACACGTACTACATATTGGATCTCGAATCACGATAAATTATCGATACCCTTCCCACCCACAATAAGCAGTAAGCAAATAAAACGATGTCCAAGCAATCGTCATTTGCTTCATTGAAACACGAAAGTCGATTGGCTAACATGGTAGTGCATTGTCGCCTCCTGACCAATGAGAACTGTTGTTACATACTTTTATTGTCAACATTCACCCTTCGTTATAACATTACAAAATCTACATGGACTAAGGCTTATGATATTTTTCAATAAATGCATTGTGTCATAGTAGCACTTAAAACTCCACTAAACTCTTTAATCAGGTAGATTGTACAGATAAATATGGACCTACTTTTTGGCGCAATATAAAGCAAGCCTAACCATACGACGATGATGATGTTAAAGTTTAATGGTTGAATATTGCAGGGAGGAAACTGAACATTTCGACGTGTTTAGGTTATTTATTTTGTACTAAAAATAAAAATAATACATCTAAATGTCTAACTTATTGATACAGACATTGTTTAGTATAATTAGTTTCGTGTTGGCAGGACATTCGCACGCCGGTTGTCTCATGAGTTGAGTCGGACATCTTGAAATGTAGATTGTGTTGTGCAATGAGCTGAAGCTAAACAATGTCACCGGCACCGTCGCTGTTTTGAACTAGATAGTTTCTAAGTTGGCTATGAAAATTGTTAACCGGGATTACAAAACTAATACTGTAGCTATAAAATTAATAAATGTTAAAATAAAATATTTATCCCTGTCGGGTCTCGGTGTCATCGGAATCGACTTTTGACAATCGAGTCTTGGTACCGAACCGATACCAATGTCCAAGTGGTAACCAATGGATGGTGGTATCGATGACGATAATCGACACATCCCTTTTTAGAATCGAATTTAAATTTCAATGCAACAATGCATTTATTCCCAGGTTATTTTCTAAGAGTAGCCATTGAGCTTATTCCAATTCATACAAAATATTGATTAAACACTATAATAAATCTCAAAATAAAGAAAGTGTAGAATAAATCTTGATCTAGAATAAAACTTGAAAGTGTAGAATAAATCAAAACATATGATTTGAAATAAAAAAAAGCTGAAGTTTTCCATTTAATCTTGAATTGTTATTATTTAGCCAATGTGGTTATTTAATTTTAAACATTTAAAATTTACAAATTTAAAAATTTTCACAGTAAAATAATTTATTTCAATATACTATAACGTAACTAAAACGTCTTAATTATTATAGGTAACATCATCCCTGGTTCTATATAGTACATTGCAGAATTGACTGGCAGAGACGATATTGTGTCTACACGCCACAATATCGATATGCAGACATAATTATCAATACGATAATTATGTCCACTCGACCGCGGAAAATAGTCAGAATTTTGCCGCAATCGCGGGACCGGCCCTGGGTGTTTGTAAAGTATATCATTTGACTTAATTAATCTGTTTACAGGACTCGACCCTGCACAGTTCAAAGACAAAATCAAAACTTATGAAGAAGTTAAGACAGGGGAAAGTATTATTTTACAAGACCAAGAACGTTTTAAAAATTGTGAAAAGTAAGTTGGTTTAAATACTTCACCTACATATTATACTGTCCATTATTAATTATCAGCAGTGATGTGAACTTAAAATACTTATAAATAATTTTAAAACGTTCTGCCAACAATAGTTTGGTTTTAAAGTAGAAAGTTTTATAATTTTGTGTTCCATATTAAGAGTCATCCATCAATTGTGACTCTTGAATGACCAGAGTTTAGATGACTGAGAATGATAATTAAATATAAATATTTATTGGTTAAATCAACTTGTATATATGGTGGAATGAGTCTCAGAACGTTTTGACATTTAATCAACCATAAAACCTAGAAGTGTGAACTTCATATTTTCAGAACACCTAGAAACAATAAATCCCAACTATAAGCAGGCAAGAGGTTAGTAATTCTAGAGTGCTCAGTAATTCTAGAGTGAACTCAGTACTCTACATTCAAATCTTTTAAGTTGAATACCAAGCTTACTGTGAGCAAATTCTTTATTTATGCTGATGAAACATTTCCAGCCAAATATTCTAGTGAGCTTAACAAATCTTAACATTTGTTTCAAATATTTTTCTAATTGATATAATTAAACTTTAATAAAGGTTTTGAATCCTTAATAATAGATTTGACGGGACTTTTCAATGCTCTTGTCGGCCTTAACCCCAACTATTGTAGCATTTTTCAGGATTTTTCACAAATGTACGACAATTCAATTTATTACAGTTGTATTAGTTAATGAGTTTGAGTTTGTATTAGTTCTGTGTTGTACCTATTGTACTCCATTGTTATATGTTAATAAATATTTCAGTATTTTCTGTGAAATAACATGTCTAGGCAGTATTATTCGTGTGTGTATGTTACATTATAATTTTCAAGTAAAGTTTGTGAGTCATAGAAATCAATGGTAAATGTAAAGTCATGGAAATTAATGACAAATTTTCTGTGGACACCCTGTTAAAGTTTTACACTCTATTATAGTCTTATTGCAAAATGACTCATAGAAAATTATAATCTAACAGCTGTATACAATGATTTGTGCTCTAATGTGTTTGTCCTATTTTCTGAATGAAACACCTGTTAGTAACATTAAACGCTCAACTGGACAAAAGAGCAAGTTGTTGAGGTTGGATTTGCATCCGGCAATTTTAACACAATGTACCTTAAATAAAAGATTACTGAACAAATCATGTGTAGGACAAACCTCACACAATACAAATTTTTGAAAACTGTGAGAAACATCAACTAGGCTACAAACTTGGTACAGAGTTTGATGGCTTATGAATAATGCAACCATTCTTTACTTTTTCACACTGTATTTTATAATGTTTTTATGTTTACATCTCATAGCCGCATAAAAAAACAGCAAGTGACATAACCAATCAACATATTAAACAAATGGTTTTCTATTGTTGTTATAAGATTGGCCATTTGAATTGAAAGTAGAGGTGTGCAAGCAGCTCGATTTTTTAGCTGAGACGAGCCTAGCCTACAAGCTAGAGGGACCAAGTCAAAAAATCGAGTTTCTTTGATCATGGGAAACAATGATCAAGTCTGTAAGATCGTGGGATAGGTTCAGGGTTTTGCTGTGACCGCAGAAGACGATAATGATGTTTCTGAGACCGCAGGAGATAACCACAATTTTACCACAATAGCAGAGGAAGATGAGTATATTTCTGTTGCACTGCAGGAAATATTTAGGATTTGATGCTATTGCGGAGGACAACGACAATGTCCATACGACCGAAAAAGATTATATTTAAACATCATTACATTTTATAATGAATGTTTGTGACGGATTTACTTATTATAAGGCAGTATGCAAAAATCATTATATAAAAAACTTGACTCAAAAAAAGCTTTAAGTGTCACGTTTTTCCAAAAGGATGACTCGGTAAGAAAAAACAGGCTCTCACACCTCTAATTGAAAGAATAATTTTATCACCTTTTTAATTTAAATAAAATGTTTTCTGTGTGTTTTTTCAGAATATTTTAATCAATACTGCCTAGAATCTGAGCCCTTTAATTAATTGTAATTTTCATGTTTTCAGGTTCATTTTTAAGTGTGTCAATCCTGAGTGCTTGTGTGAGAATGTAATAGAAGGCCCTGTCAGGAAAACTGTAAGTGGATTTGCATTTTACCTAATTAATTCTCTAGTTCATTTTCATACCTCGGCATGTTTTGTTTTAACATTATCAACATTTTTTATTTGAACATATATCTTGTTTCAAAACAAAAAAGTCTTGCTACACAAGTAACACAACATACGGTAAGACTCCCCTTTGGCTCGGCTTTTGGCCCCTATTTAATAGTAGCCGTGATGGCAATGGTCACAGGGGACAGGATGTTGCCCCGGGATTTTTTTCTGCGTTAAAATCTCAATGATAACTTTGCAGTTGCAAAGTATTTCATAGAAGGGCTTGTGTGTGGTGCAAACCAAACAAGTCTTGACATGTTAGAGTCTCGATGTAGGGCCGGTGCTATAATGAATGAAATTCGCTTAGTCATAATCTCTAAAACTTTCTATAGGTCAATAAGCTTAGATATAAAGTTATAATCTTAGGAGTTAGAGGGAGGTAAAATATTTTAATAATCTTAGGTCCCCTTCGGGGGCGGGGGGTGGGGTTATAATCATCGGTATGCCAAACACGCTGTTGCATTCAAAACAATAAAATAAAAAGTACACTTATAGGAAACGTTATCATTATTGCCACTTGTCCCGTTTCTGGAGGAGGGGAAATATAAGGCATTAACATAAATGGGGATTTTCTAAATGGTTGTAATAAAAAAATACCGTTTCAGACCATCAAACCTAAAAAATGCAAAACATCTAGAAGGTATATAAACAGTTTAAAACCGATTTTCTTAAGGGGTGATTTTAATAGGGGGGGGGGGGGCTTAAGATGAAATTGGTCACCCTCTTACCATTTCCGTTTATTTACGCCCCTAAACAACCTACTTAATAATTATCAAGTCTCTACTCTGCTTGTCACTGTATGCATAATCTCCATAAGAATTAAGCTAGTTTTTGCCCAACAAGCGTTAAAAACAACTTTTTTTCCAAAAATGTGCCATAAAAAATTTTTTCTCGGGAGTTTTGGCACAAGACTTACAACCACCGAAAATTTCAAGTCTCTAGCTCATCTAGAAGTGGTCTAGAGTTTGTATCCCTTAGTTACATATGTGGGAGTACCGTATAGTATTAAGAAGACTATTGAAATTTATATGGACATTAATAAAAAGACTTTTATGAAGGCAGAATTTTTCAATAGTGAAAAAACAGGGATTGACGTATCAATCTGTGGATAACCCTGAAAATAAAAAAAATAATTAAAAAAATATGTTTATTTGGTTAAACGGACTAAAAATCTTCTTATTTCGGTCACATCCATGGTAGGCTACCTTTGTGCCAGATTTAGAATAAATTCAGAAAATTAGTTTTTGTTTCATATCTCTTGTAAATTACTAATCACCCCGCCGCAGCAAACCTGCAGACTAAGCGAATTTCCATTAGCCTGATTGGATTTAGACTAGAATGCCGCCTTAAAAATATCATATTTATTCCCTATTTAAATAGAATTAGTTTAAGGAGTACTTAGGTTTGCTGCAACAGGAGGGTAAAAAAGTGTTTTTTATTGTAAAATGTTAATAGTTTTAGTAAGAAATTAATGTATTTTCCAAATTCGATCAAAATATGTTCATAAACAAGCAAACTACAACAGTAGACTTATTCTCCATAAGAATAACATGGGAATTTAAAATTTACAATTTTTTGGAATTTTCTCTGTAACCATTAGGCGCACAATAACACTTCAATATACTAAGTTATTTGTTTTTTTAAGCTCTACCAAATGGTTTGGAAAGAAATTATGAAATTTTGTGTTTTTAGGTTCAAAAATGGGAAAACCCTACAAAACCCTCCATAAACCCCCATTCCCATAGTCCGATCATGCTGGTTTGCAAACTCGTTCGAATAAATGTAGGTTTACACGTTTATACCAAATTTCATCAAAATCGGACCATTTTTGCTCGAGTTATCGTGCTAACGGACAACCATATTTATATACATAGTAGAGTCCCGCAAACTCTTCGTAATGTGGACTGGAAGGGTGCCAAGTTTGTGAAATGCCGGGTTATCGGGAACTACTAGAGTTAAAAATAAGAACTTTACAATTTTTAAGCTTTTTAACAGCCTTTTTTAATTAAATTTATTTTACAAGTCATTATTAAGTCATCAAATATATTACAACAAATCCTTAGTACGAGTTGCAAATGTTTATACTTGAGCTGGCTTTAACTCGGACTCAAAAATCACTAATTTTCTGAGCCAGGTGATGGCCGAGTTATCCAGACTGCCGGGTTATCGAGTGCCGAGTTTGTGGGACTCTACTGTATATATATATATATATATATATACAGTCCAACCTCAGTATAACGAATCTGAAGGGACCGAACTGAATATTCGTTATATCAAGGATTTCGTTAAAATGAGGTTCGTTATATAGAGGTTAGGTTTGCAGGAATTTCGCTAAGTCAAGGTTCAGAACCAGCGTCGGTCAATATAGGCCGGGATTTGACCTCAATAAAACACAATTAAAGTAGCATAGGCTACAATACTTTACAGTACAGTGTTCATTGTACAGTAGAACCTTCTGTATCCAATAGTCAATGGTAGAACCTAAATTATCCGGCATAATAAAGGTGAGGGATCTTGAATATTGCGCAATCATGACAATGGCATTGACCTTGGTACAGGTTAAAAACTGTAAGTTTAAAATCACAGCTTGTTCTAATCCTCCTAAAACCTAGCCAAACACTACATTGCGTAGTCATAAACCATGTAAAAAACAAAACAAAACAGTAGAAAGTTTTGTAAACTACTGACGGCTCCGTGATAGGCCGATAGGCTACTTACAGTACAGTACTGATTTATCACATCAGAGGAATCTCAATAATAATCATTAACTATAGCATTGGTGTTGCTAGTTGAAACAAATCGTATTGAAAACAATAAATTATTAGATAAGTCACTATAAAAGTGCATATTCATAGCCAACTTAAAGATAATAATACCCCCGCCGCAGCTAACCTGCTGTCTAAGCGAATTTCCATTTGGCTGAATTGCTTTTCAATTGATCTATTTAAATAAAATTAGGTTTAACGAGTACCTAGGTTTGCTGCTACAAGGAAACTAATAAAGTGTGTGTTTTAAGTAAAATAATTATTGCTTAGTATAAAATGAATATATTTGCCAAGTTTGATCAAAAGATATCCATAAACAAGCAAACTACAACATTTTACAATATTCTCCATAAGAATAACATGGGGATTTTAAATTTACAATTTTTTTAGTTTTCTCCGTAACCAATAACCGTGCAAAAACACTTTGATATACTGAATTGTTTGTTTTTTTAAGCTCTTTAAGAAGAATTAGAGGAAAATTGGGAAATTTTGTGTTTTGAGGGTCAAAAGTGAGAAAAACAAATTTTTACCCCATAAAACCCCCCATAAAACCCTGTTCCCATGGTCCGATCATGCTGGATCGCGAACTCATTCAAGTTTATCCCGCCTTACACCTTCAAACCAAATTTCATCAAAATCGGATAAAAATTACTCAAGTTATCGTGTTCACGGACACATATATATATATACATATATAAAAATTTGAACGAATGGTGTTTTTGGCCTCTGGGGACATCAAAATGAAAAAGTAAATCGGTCCCGGGCCTAAGTCTTACCATGAGACCTACGGTAATAGCTACTTCCCTATAGGGAAATTCGCTAAAAACACTCGTAAATTAAGGAATGTTAAAATAACGATGCTGCTATTCTTTCTCTTTGCTTTTGTTTTTATATTCTTTCTTAGATTTCTCTTTATCCAAAAATTGTACAATTCACCATATTTACTTCTCACCCAATCACAGCTTACTACAGATTACGTCGTCGTTTCAATCCATATCAAGTGATCCAGAAATAAAATAATTGGTTGCTTGACCATTTTAAAAATAAATAATAATTTTATCCTAGATACCTCTATCAATTCTGGGTTCAAAAGTGATTTTAATTCTTTTTTATCTCTTTTGTTACTTCTACGGCGGCCATTTTTGTTTTGCGGAACACGCAAATTTTTGCTCATGTAAGGGTTTGCGTTAACTTGCACAACTTGGTAACCATGAACACTAGAGTGATGAAACAAAAAGCATTTTAATCTGGAAGAAACAGCCTAAATATTATGTTCAGTACAAATTTATTGAAATGTGTATCAAAAACAGTTTTAAACCCATCTCAACATTTCATAAGAAAACGGAAAGATTTCAACTTTTGAAGGCGTATTACCATTGGAACGAATAAAATCTCAGACTTGATTTTTTTTGTGTGTGTAGCAACTCAGTAGAACTGTTTGTATTTCAAATATCAACCATGAGACTTAATTCCTTTAAAAGTTGTCATTTTTCAAAAACTGAAATTTTTTGAAAAATTCAAATTTTGAGTCTCAATATCTTTGTTGGGACAAAGTTTAAAAATCTGAAATTTTTACCAAAAACCCCTCTTATGGTTGTTATACTGCTGTATGAATTTCATCTTTGAGATTTACTTTTAAGCTAAGTTACAGTATCATGAAAATCACAAAAAACCCATAAGCTCGGCCAACGTGGCTAGTACTGTAGGTAGCTTAAAGATTAATTTATAGGTGTAGGTAATTATTTTATTTAATGTAAACTTATCTTAATGTACATTTCAAAAATCCAAAACAGATTTTTAACTTAAACTTTGTACCCAAAGTACAAATTAGGCCTATATGTACCGCTACGGTACTAAAAATAAATAAAACCCTGCTAAATTTTAAGTTTTATTCATCATTTAACTTAAATAAAACTTAGTTAATTCTATTTATATTGAGGTCTTAAAATTTATTTTCCATTTAGATTTAATGTACCGTAACCTGTATAACACAAATCAATAAAGTGTTTATTGTGGTATTTTGAAAAAAAATAACTCATATTCTGTGGGATGAGTCACAAAACACAGTTTTTCTTAACAAAATAATTCATTTTTATAACAGATGAAGAAATCACTCAACACCACAACAACAAACTCCTGGACCGATTTGAGAACTGTT